TTCCCGTGGGGAGTCCGGAGGAGAGGGTTGGGGCGCTCCGAGCGGGGACCCAGTGCTGCCTGGGCGACTGGGGGTCGGTGGATGCGGACTCAGGCCCAGCCCTCTGGGGTCTGAGCGGATGCAGCCCTGCCAGTGGGATCTGAGGCGGACGAGATTCTGCTTGGAGAGTCTGCTGGTACAAGGCCTGGGACACCTGCTCAGTGTCTCAGAGGACATGGCCTCACCCTTGACTGTTTAGGGGCATGGGGTGCTTTTCTGGGAAGCCCAGGGCTTAGGGGAGATCGGGCCTGCTTCTTTGAGTTCTTCTTACACCTCTCACCCCAGGGTGCGGCCATCCTGATGTGAAAATAGTCGGAGGAGAGGAATCCAAAGAAGGGGAGTGGCCCTGGCAGGTGAGCCTGAGAGTCCGTCGCAAGCACATCTGTGGAGGCTCGCTCATCTCAGATCAGTGGGTGCTGACCGCGGCCCACTGTATTTTAAGGTGAGGGGCGGAGACGTGAGCGTTCTGGAGCCAGGCCTGTTCTCAAACACCCACTGAGCTCAATTGCCTGGCACACTGACAAAAAAAGAAACAAAACAACAACCAAACAGCATACCCAATAAAAATGGGAGGGGCTCTGCATTGGTAGTTTTTTTACTAGGAATTTAAGGCGGGGGGCGGGGGCGGGGGCAAGCAAATCGATTCTGAGAGTGATCAAGGAGAGGGTCTTGGAGGTAGAGGGGTAGGGAGAGTGTGAGGGAGGTTGGGGAGAGGTTGGGAAGTATCTGAAACTCATGGAAAAAGCACAAGGAGTGCTTCGCAGGTCTCTATGAGGGGCATGTCCTCTCTTCCACAGCCGTTTCAGCTACAGCATCAAGATAGGAGATATGAGTATCTTTCATAAAGTCAACACAAGTGTGGTGGTCCCTGTCCAAAACATCGTTGTCCACCCTCAGTTCACAAGAATTGGGAGTGTTCAAAATGACATCGCCCTTCTTCATCTGCTCTTCCCTGTGAATTTCACCTCAACCATCCAGCCCATCTGCATCCCAGAGCAGACTTTCCAGGTGGCAGCTGGGACCAGATGCTGGGTGACTGGATGGGGCCGACAGGGAGAAGGCGGTGAGACTTGTCAGGCAGGAAGCAAATTTGGGGTGGTGGGGAGACAGCCTTGTGCCCTCGAGTAGGCATGAAGGCTAAAGGGAGGGAAAGGGAGGCAGAATTACCTGGCAGGTAGGTAAGGGGATTGGGGGGTGAACAGTTTAGCAGCAGGGCAGTGGTTCCCTGATTAGTTTGGGTGACCCCAGAAACTGTGTTGAGGTCTTTTATGGCAACACAAATGTTGGATGGCAGCCATTTTGGAGAACTGGAGCTGCCCAGCCAGGAGAAGGAGAAATACAAAACGAGGTCCCCTTCTGAACATTTGTGGGGGGACTGTGCCTGACTGGGAGTCCCTGGGTGGTGCAAACTGTTAAGCGCCTGACTATTAACTGAAAGGTTCTCGGGTCAAACTCATCCAGGCACCTGGGGAGAAAGGCCTGGTGATCTGCTTCTGGAAGGTCACAGCCTTGAAAACCCCACGGAGCACAGTTCTACTCTGCACACATGGGATTGCCATGAGTCGGAATTGACTCAACGGCAACTGGCTGGTTTTTCTTTGATTTGGGGGGTGTTTCTAGGTTTCCTGGGGACAAAGCCAGATGCTATAGGGTTCTCTTCAGGGTGGATTTCAGCTCAGGGGGTGATGAGCTGTCTGCCAGTCAGAGCTGCCCCTCACTGGAGGTACCTGTCTTGGTGGGTGGGGAGCATCCTCTCCCTGGGGGTGTAGGCGGAGGCAGAGGGCCCCTGTTCGTGAGGCTGCCGGGCCTGCTACCCTGGGGAGAAGCTAGATTTTTGTACCTTTGGGGTGCGACCTGTCCTAGAGTCTGTCATCCTGCTCTGAAAAGTAAAGACGCTTCACTGATGCACAGGCCCCCTGTCACTATTGCTACTGCTACTCACGGTGACAGAGGCCTTGTTCTGACCTATTCTGCCTTCTCCTGGTTTGGGTTTACTTCTTACCTCCTCCTCTCCCCATGCCAACTTTGGGCCTCAGTTTCCTCCTGTGTCACATGGGGACCATATCTACTACCCTGCTTTTTTCCAGGGGGATTCTGAGTGCCTGAGACTTCCTGTCTACTTGCGTAGCTCCACGAACTGCTGATTTTCTTTGCTTGTAGATCAGTCTCCTTTTTCAGAAATTCTCCAGAAGGTCGACCAGTACATCATCCGCTATGAAAACTGTAATAACATAATGAAGCAGACCATGTCAACTTTTTCGGATGTAGTAAGGAAAGGGATGGTCTGTGGCTATAAAGCTGGTGGAAGAGATTCTTGTCAGGTCAGTTCCCCTTGCCTCCTCTGCATTTTGATTTTTGCCTCAGAAGTTCCTCATTCTTAGCTGGCACGGCCTGGGTTCTTTGCCAGCTTCTCTGTTCACCACTTATTGAGTTAAGGAGATTCACAGGGGGAAACCACCATGGCTCCCCTGAACTGACCTGGCCTGTTCCTTCAAAAGGGAGCAGCCCTCATTGCCTAGGGGCCCTGTCGGGGTGTGGGGAAGTTGGAGGTGCATAAATATTAATAATGTAAGCTCCATTAATTGAGCTCCTCCGGTCGGCGGCAGTCAGTGTGCCAGTGGGAGCATTTACACACATTGTCTCAGTTAACCCACGTCACAACCCTGCAACATAGACATCAGACCTATTATGCAGATGTGGAAGGGGAGGTCCAAAGACCAAATCCCCTGTGAGCGCCCGTATGGTGCCCGGGCCCATGATTTTCCTTCTGCGCCAACCTGCCTTCCTTAGGAGAGGGCATTTGATCCAGGTCCTAGAGGATGAGAATTCTTAACGTTTCTTGGAAAGGAGAGAACTGCATTGGAGGGAGAGGGAACAGCGTATGCAGTGGCCCAGATGTACGTGGGAATTTGCCACATTCAGGGAATGTTTCATCTATCTGGAACAACAAGGTAGCAAATGTGGCCAGAGAGGTGGATTGGAGTCAGAATATGTGTGGCCTGCAATGCTGTGCCAAGATTCTAGACCTCTATCCAGGCAGGCCTGGGGGACACCGTCAGATTTACCTTTAAGAGAAGTGACTCCCTGAGCTGTGTGGTGACTGGACTGCAGGCTCGCAGTTTATTTTCATCATCCAGGCAAAGTTACTGAGTCCTGAGCGGAGCCTGGTTCAGTGAGGTGGTGAAAGAGATGTGCTTGAAGTTGAATCATCGGTTGTTGGTGACTGACTGCATGTCGGGGTGGGGGCGAGGAAGACCCCGTGTTTCTGCCTGAGGTGGCCAGTGGCAGGGAACACAGGAACAAGTTTGGGAAAGGACACGTGGAGTTCTGTTTGAATTGGGGTATGTGTGGAATGTCTGGGGTGAGGTCTAAAATGTGGAAGGAGCTGGCTGTATGGCTTCAGGCCAGATGTAGGGACTTGGGGCCACCAGGCACAGATGTGGTCAAAATATTTAAGAACCACTGTGATCTGGGATGAAAGCGATCGACTACTAACTAAAAGGTTGGTGGTTCAAAACCACAAGTGGCTGTGTGGGAGAAAGATGTGGCCATCTGCTTCCGTAGAGATTTATAGCCTTGGAATCCTTATGGGGTCGCTATGAGTCGAAATCAACTCGACAGCAGTGAGTTTGGTTTGGCAGTGGGTGGTGGTCTGGGAAATGGCCTGTCAGAATGGACAGGCCTTAACGCTGGGTCTGCCTAACCTTGCCCCTTTAATTCTTACGGATAGGCTTGGAGGGAGGAAGGCCAGAGGAAGCGGCTGAGAGAGAATAGGGACACTCAGGGTCTCAGAAGTGGCTTTAACCACTAGATATGAGAGCGTGTCAATATTTTACCAGCTGGCACTGCTGTCCTGGGGCCAACTGGCGATATGTCCTGTGCCTGAGTACCTGATTACCTGGGAAGAGTAGTATTTCTTAGCAGACATTAATTTTCCCATTAACTTTTCATCTCCCAGATCACAAATTCACAGAAACTGGGGCCTGGGGGGGTACCTGGGGAAGCCCGCCAGTGCCCTGTAGTGCATTCAGCCTGCTCAGTGTGGATCCTCTTCCATTCCTGTGGTTTGTTTCTTTCTCTTTCTCCAGGGAGATTCTGGGGGACCCATGGTCTGTGAATATAACCAAACCTGGATGCAGGTGGGGATCGTGAGCTGGGGCATCGGCTGTGGTCGTCGTGGAACGCCTGGAATTTATACGGAAGTTAGCGCCTACAGGAACTGGGTGGGCGCAGTGCTAAGCCAGTCTACCTGTTTGTGTCCTTTGGGGTCCCACATCATACTCCCGTTTCTGGTGCTGCCCTTGGGCATCCTGGTGACCCTGTGACCACACCTGCCCTTGCCCCTCCTGTTCCTGAGTCTCCCACTTTGCCCCTCCTCCGACCTCCCGTTCCTTCTCAATGCCCTGTCTGCAAATTCCAGTTGGGATCTATTGACCCTGTGGAGATCCACACAATCGAGGGTGGCAGTGAGGCTGGAGCCCGGAAAGTGCCCTGGTCTGGTGCACCGGTCACCTGCCTGATCCTTGGCTGTGCCCCCAAGCCCTATACCAGCGCTCTGCCTGCCGGAAAGGAGAGGGGTGACCTGCCAGGTGGAGCATGGTGGTTCTTTGACCTTTTGGAGAACATCAACCAGAGAAGGGAGGTTCGATTTGACATCATCAGTGGTGAAACCAGCATTAGACCCTGGTTCTGGTTTCAGGGCTCTTCCTTGAGACTTTGTCGAACCAGTCAGCTTGGGATTGTTCAAAGAGAGAGCCTGAAGAAGGCACGCCATGTCCTTGCTGAGGCGCCAGGCCTGGGATTTCCAAATTCTTTGCCACAGAAGATCTCCTGGAGGCAACCCAATCTTGGAATCTCCTTCTTCAATTCCTTAGTGGGCACACCCAGGGACACCTCAAGTTGTGTTGGGGTGATGGGATGCAGAGATTTAAGATGTCAACTGAATAAACACTTGGAGAATTGCCTGTGTGTTCTGCATTTCTACTGGCCTGGGGCGTGGGGATAGTGAAGAGAAGTTATCTCACACTTAACTGAGGAAGATGTTAATAATTCCTTTTAAACCCTAGAGAGAGGGGAGGCCCCTGCATACCCTGATGTGAGCTGGACGGATGGTTTTAACCAGTTGAATCCTGCTGCCTGTGCTCCTGTCACAGCCGTCAGCAACTCTACAGCTGGGAGTGTTGTAGCTGAGTTTGCTAGCTGTTGCAGCTGGGAAGGAGGGAACAAGTGAGACTGAAAGCAAGAGAGGGCTCTGGGCATTGCATCCCAAACTGCAACCCCCATTTCCTGTCTGTTGCTGCTCCTCCCCCTCCAAGTATGTAGAGCCGTGAGCACCAGATCCCTTTGGCTGGGCTCTACCGGGAACACAGGATGAGCTGCTTGACTGTGTCTGCACTTGCCTCATCACCCAGTGGTCTCATGATGCTCCAAATTTTCTTCACTGTTCATGCAACTTGGGGTTACCTTCTCTTGAGGTGGAGGGGGGTGGTTTAGTGTGTTTTGCATATGGAAAGAAGGTGCATGTAAATATTAGGTGAATAAGAAAGTGAATTGAGCTAGAGACTGATAATTGTCTCTCCCGGTATCTTTCCTTCCCTTCGTTCTAGGCATATAGCTGCTCATAATAAAGACTACACTTATAAGCCTTTCTTATATCTAGGTGTGGCACTAATTTCTAGCCAACGAGATATGAACAGAAATAGTGGGTATGAATTTTGAGAAATGTCCCTAAAGGGAGGATAAGTCCTTCTTCAACCCTTTCTTCTCTCCTGGCTGGAATGTGCATGTGTTGGCTGGAGCTCGAGCAGCCATCTTGGGACATGAAGAACATGCTAAGGGTATAGAATGGCAATTTAGAAGGAACTTGGCTTTCTGGAATTTGTAGGACTGCCATCAGCCTTTTATGCAAGAGAGAAATTTTTGTTTTAATCAAGTCACTGTCATGTTGGGTCTCAGAAAAACCCTATCCTAACAACTCGATTGACATCATTTGGAGCTTTATTTCTTGATTGTTATGAATACAGGTTTTTAAAGTCATTTCTTATTTAGACTAAAATTTTTTTATTCCTACTTCCCCATTCCTCATTTTTTTCTTTATTCATTTTTTAAAAATTGATAACATTAAAAATTTATGTTGGTGAATTACTGTATTATCTCTTAATGACTTTCTATATTATTATTTTCTTTA